TCATCAATAAATAATAAATTCGTTAAACTACCTAACTCCAGTTTGTTACTAAGTGGCATAGTGATAAACTTTGTCTCACTCTCTCTCAACCCTGTTCACGTGACCCCTTGTTAAATTCGATACCTGTCCAGTTGTTAACTTAACGTACTTGGTGCAACTGTGGTTGATTTGTCCAGCTTGCCCGAAGTAGTGTGGTATAGCTGAGGTTAAAGAAAGATCAGAAAGTACTCGGATAATAGAAAGACCTACCTACGGAACCAACCAACTCGCCAAACCTAACACGCCTCTTTCCAGTAAAAGCCTACCGTAGGTTACGCAAGTATTTGGAATATCAAGCGACTGACTCGCCGCTACGCCGGTTTCAATAATTAACCTTAGCCATAGATATGGAATCCCCGTATTAGTCTATATGCAATTATCTTTTTTATTTTAAGATACTATGCTAAATTTTTATTAAATGATGTTCACAGGCTCAAGAAAAAAAAATGATTTGGTTTAGAGATTTTTTTTTAAACATCATTTTTAATTTTTTCTTATTATCACATATTTAATATAATATGAATTAATGATATAATCAAATTAATTTCTGCTATAACGTTTTGTTACTAGTCATTTATCTAGTATAGTTTTAATTTTAATACTCGTATATATAATTTTAGCTTTAGCATGTTTTAAAATCTTTACGCGCATAATATACTTATTTAATTTTTATTACACACATAAAGATCGATCGTTTTCGCTATTTTATTTCCAGCGAACGAATAGATCAGATCAACCCAAATTAGGATCAGTTTAAAATAAAAAAAGGTCCATAGTATGTAAATATAGAATAGTGATTTGCCGCGTACAGTACGTATCATACGTAGGCGTAAACTTTAAGAACGATATATACGGTTAATATCATTACACTACATAACTCATATATGCTACGTATGGTGTGATACGGGATTTGCTAAACGATTGACTTTAAACATTTCTTTAAATTTTATGCCACTCATTTACGCGAGATTTCAACTCTACTTGATAATTTTTATTAAAATACATGAAATAATTGTTATGTCCTCTGAAGAGATAATTCAACGAAAGGCTTTGGGAAGAGCTGCTGAAATCGGATTTCTCTACGATGCTACGAGGGATATTTTTTGTGGATCTTCTATATTTAAAACAGAACCGTCATCTAATATGATAAGAATAATGGATACTCCTCATACTGACTTAAAATACGAATATGAAGATTCCTACAAAGAAAAATTTAGTATGTTAGATGTTGAAGCTCAATTAAAAATGAGTGTTCTTTCGGGTTTGTCTCCTTTGGAAGGATCAGGAAAGTATCTAGGAGATATGAAAAATGAATCTAAGTCTGTAAGAGGTTCTTTAATGTTTAAATTTATATCAATAGAAGAAAATTTGAATATTAAACATGATGATATTCTTACGTATATTTCCGAGAACACACTTAATGTACCAGGTGCTACACATGTTGTAACAGGAATAAAATGGGGAAGCACTGTTATTGCATCATTTGAGTATGGGAAAATAAATGAAAAAGATATTTTACAAGTTAAAGGAGATCTTAAAGCTAACCTTGAAATGCTTTCGCCATATATTCCTACCCCTCAAGGGACCGGAGATGTTCATAATGTTAAAAAAGAACAAACTAATATTAAGAATCGATTTTCTATAAAAATTTTTGGAGATGTTATTCCTGATGATAAAATACTTCCTCAATCCTTCGATGAAGCAAAAAAAATAATGGCCGAACTACCATCATATGCTAAAAAATATAATCACGGAAAAGGTGTTCCGGTTGAACTTAAACTTTATCCATTGTCTAAACTTGCAAGGCAGCTTAAGCAAAATCTCACTATCAGTTGTATGATAACAGAATTAAATGAAGAAATAATTTTAAAAGTAGAACAAGTTTTTGATAAATTTTTAAAATCTAAAAAAATGCTCAACGATTTATATAATGATGCACAAATTATCTCTGATTATATACAATACGAAACTTTAGACCAAATCGAAAAACATGTGCAACATGTTGAAATAGAGGAGACAAATATCAGAAAAGAACTCGCAGATTGTCTTGTTGAAATACGTTCTGGTAAATGTGATATTAATGAGATTGAGAAAAAGATAACTAAATTTCAGGAAAGCATTCTATCTAAGGAATCTATTACTGCATTTACTAAAAAATACAAAAGTGTACAAGAAAAAGCCAACTTAATCTTCAATTTGAAGACAAAAAATGTAGAGTACGTTGAAAAAGATGCAACAATTAACTACATTCTACAGATATATCAGGACTATGAAGTCTATATTCTTCTTGATAATGATGAATATATCGTTGGTGGTAATTCGTCACCAGAATATACTAAATTTCAAGACTTATTTAAAAATTCAAATGATATTTCTTGCAAATTTTTAATAGCAGAACTTAAAATATGTACGAGAATAGAAGGGCCTGGATATCCAATTATTCTTCACTATATCAAGGGAAAGCCAGCACATGATAGCTACAGTTTTGTTGATGAGGAAATAAACATATTGCTGCTAGGTGAAGTCGGAGTAGGAAAATCTACATTTATTAATACATTTGCGAATTATTTTACATTTAATTCATTAGATGATGCAAAGTCTAAAGAAAGAGTTTTAATTCCGTCTGAGTTCATAATAACAGATAGCCATGACAAAAAAGCCAAATTTATAAAAATAGGTGAAAATAATTTGAACGAACAATTTACAAACAAAGAAACATCGTCTACTAAGAGTTGTAAAAGTTACGTGTTCCATGCGGCCAATAAAGTAATAAGATTAATAGATACTCCTGGTATACATCAAGATGCAAAGAATTTTGAAAATATCTTGGCACATATTTCACATTTTCAATACTTAAATGGAATTTGCATCCTTCTTAAATCAAATAATACACAATTAACTTTAACATTAAATATTGTACCTTTGATACTTTCACATTTCTCAGGAAGTGCAAAGGACAACATTGTTTTTTGCTTTACTAATTCTAGAGAAACATCATACTATCCAGGGAATATTTTACCACCACTTAAAAAGCAACTTAGCAATCTTTTTCATAAATCTGGTATTGAAATCAAGGCTCTAAAAGATACAATTTATTGTCTTGATAATGAAGCTTTTAGATTTTTAGCAGCATTTAAAGAAAATATATCTTTTAATGTTGAAGAAAGTTTTGCGATTAGTTGGAAAACTTCAGTGCATGAATTAATTCGACTTGTACAATTTCTTACAAGTCGTCCACCTCACAAAGTCAAAGAGACAATATTGTTTAACAAAGCTAGGAAAATAGTTAAATATCTTGAAGTAATACAATTTCAGATCAAAACTTCAATTAAAATAAAAGAGAGCAAAATTAAATTAAAACAAACATTTGAATGGGATAAAAAAATTATTAGTATATTTTTATTTTTTGTTATTATTATCTTTTTCGGTTTCATGATCAGGCAATTATTATTAGATATGAAAAATATTCGTATCAGTCAATTAATGTATATGGGAGATTCTCTTGAAAGATTTTTTACTCTAAATTCACTGAAATTTCGCCTAGAAGATATGCATGAAAAAAAGATTATTGTAAAGTCTAATGATGATGCAAAGTTAAAGAATGACTACAATGACATAATAGAAGAATATGTGAATGACTACAATGACATATTCAATGACATATTCGAAGAATATATTGAACAGAAATTAATTATGTTTTTTGCTAGTTTTATTTTTATTATTATTGTTACTGTATTCGTAATCGGGAGTTTGTTTTGGGAGAAAGATTATATCACAATTAATAAAAGAACAGATGATGCAGAACAACTCCAGAAAATGTTAAAGGAAGAAAAGATTATAGTCGAAATTAAAGAGATATTTGATTTATTATTAAACAAAAATTCAATAGTAACTATAAATGAAAATAAAGAATTCAAATGTTCAGAAACGTTTGATAAAAAAGGTTCTAATACTTTACTTTCATTAAGTAATATAGATGAGCTTGAAAAAAAATTATATAATTTGCCGATATATGGCCGAGATTTATATAAAATGTTTGAAGAAAATTTTAAGCAGGAGAATAGACAATTTAGCTATTTAGAAAATCACTGTGAGCTTCCTGAAAATAATAATGCATTAAAATCCTTATTTTTCAACAAGTAAGATTAGCAAAAAACAGTTAAACCGATTTAACTAGTCATTTTCTAATGTAAACTATTATTTATTATTTTTTTTATTTGTTTTATGAATATATAAGAAGCTTTTTAGATTATAACAAATATAGAATATATTTTCTAGCTAGCATTAGTTTATTTAACGACTATATAATTTTGTTTGGCATTTTTCCTAGATATTTTCTAGTTTAAATTGAAATGATATATTTTGGATTTGTTAGTTTGCAATCTCGGAATCGCCACTTTGTCATTTTTATTTAAGGGTTTTTTGCGTCTCGTGTAACTTACATATCCCCACATATCCACCAAAAAAAAGGATCAGAAGTAAAAAGGAAAATGTACTTGTAAAAAAGAAGCAAAGTTAACCAAAAAAAATTCTTG